ATGTCTCTCTCTCTCTATGTCTCTCTCTCTATGTCTCTCTCTATGTCTCTCTCTCTGTCTCTCTCTCTGTCTCTCTCTCTGTCTCTCTCTCTCTCTCTCTCTCTCTCTCTCTCTCTCTCTCTCTCTCTCTCTCTCTCTCTCTCTTTCTCTCTCTCTCTCTCTCTCTCTCTCTCTCTCTCTCTCTCTCTCTCTCTCTCTCTCTCTCTCACACACACACACACACACACACACACACACGCGCGCACTCTCGCTCTCTCTCTCTCTCTCTCTCTCTCTCTATATCTCTCTCTCTCTCTCTCTCTCTCTCTCTCTCTCTCTCTCTCTCTCCGTAGCTCTCTCCCGCTTTGAAATTTGCTTCCGTAGAATTGGGCACCATTGCCCGTTTGGCCTTGCGAAGTAAAATAAAAATCAACAACAACAACAACAACAACAACAACAACAACAACAACAACAACAACAACAACAACAACAACAACAACAACAACAACAACAACAACAACAACAACAACAACAACAACAACAACAACAACAACAACAACAACAACAACAACAACAACAACAACAACAACAACAACAACAACAACAACAACAACAACAACAACAACAACAACAACAACAACAACAACAACAACAACAACAACAACAACAACAACAACAACAACAACAACAACAACAACAACAACAACAACAACAACAACAACAACAACAACAACAACAACAACAACAACAACAACAACAACAACAACAACAACAACAACAACAACAACAACAACAACAACAACAACAACAACAACAACAACAACAACAACAACAACAACAACAACAACAACAACAACAACAACAACAACAACAACAACAACAACAACAACAACAACAACAACAACAACAACAACAACAACAACAACAACAACAACAACAACAACAACAACAACAACAACAACAACAACAACAACAACAACAACAACAACAACAACAACAACAACAACAACAACAACAACAACAACAACAACAACAACAACAACAACAACAACAACAACAACAACAACAACAACAACAACAACAACAACAACAACAACAACAACAACAACAACAACAACAACAACAACAACTCCCTAGATTGGCTAGATTACAGAGGGTCAGTACCGGGGCTAACACCCATACGGTTTAGATGGTGGCAAGACCGGGGCTCTGCCAACCGTGCCCGTGGGTGGTTGTAGTAAGGTCATCAGTGGTCATTGTTTCCGAACACGGTGGGTGGTCCTCCACCAGGCACCAATACATGCTGTCAATCAACAACATAGTACTTAGTAGTATGCCGCTCAAGACAGCTGTTTCGCTCATTCCACACGTACTAGGTACTAGTAGATAATGCAGGAATAGCATAATAAATAATTATGCAAATAATCGACGCGGAGTCAACAATTTTAGCATACATGTAGCAATAAAGAGAGCAAATTCTGCTGTCTTCGTTTGGGCAGAGCATCATTCAGGATACTGCATAATGCTGACTGGCTCGGCACGGGCACTGACTGAGTCTGTAGTCTATTTAGTAGTATTATTATTGCAGTAATCTACCAAGGTCCATGGTCTAATGTTACAATTATCATGATTATGGTCTACGCCATGCATATGCATGGCCTAGGCTAGGCCTAGGGAGTCGTAGTAGGGACTTCAGACCACGTGACTTCTTGGCCCAAAAGCGTGCAAATCGACGCCTGCACAAATCGTGTGATGGTCATATGTCAAGTCGTGTAGGGAAATGTGGAACCGTTTTTCGAAATGAAAGAAGTCTTGTACAGTTGGAGAAAGTTTCGGTTCGTCTTGTTGGAGCTTGCCTTCGTTTGGGACCAGCAAGAATGGAGCTGTTACGTTCATTTTTGACGGAGTTACGTATGCGGATGGAAGGGAAAGGTGAGAAACCATATGATCCGTCCGGGTCCCCTTCTTGAAAATGTGATATTCGTATTCTACGACCTCGAATTAGTCTAGATAGAAGGTAATCTTTATTGTTTTCACCTTCCAGAAGACCTATTTCTTGCATTATTCCTCTTTGTACTTTGCCGTGCAGCGCCGCCATAGTCACAGTATGGAAAGCAGCGAGAAGTATCCTGCGCTAAATGATGCTGATGTACAAATTGAATTGCTCTTGGCTGTTTCGGTCCATGCCTCGATTCTTGTCTCCGATGCTGTTATGCTCGATCTGGTTGAGCTCCGCAAGAATAGCTGAAAGAGTGCCGAACTGGGAGATGTGCTACATACTCTTGTTGCTATTTGCTGTATCTCTGCCGATGATGATGTGCGTGCTACGATTACCCCAGCCAATACAATGTCCTGTACATGTACATGTTGAGCTTAGCCAGTGCCTCTTCCGTGATCATTCTTTTTCTTGACACCAACCACGCCAACAGTCCGAAGCTATCTCAGGACTGTATTATCAATGTCTCCTGTTACTAACCACTACATTGTAAACCATACTATTCAGCTATTTCATGCGGAGAATCAAGATTGTTTTTGGATCTGGTGTACGGTTGCTATGCGTTGCCAAGGACAGTGGGTTCTCTCAGTTTGACATATCTCTCTGATCTCAAATGTGTGGGACGTTTGTCGGACAAATCCGGTGATAGGCGATGACTATTTTGCTTGTAACTTTAGTTTCCTTTGTCCGATTTAGAAAAACTAAAGACCAAACTCCTCAGGAAGCTCTAACCCATCCAAAAAGCAAAACATAAGCCACAGAAAACCGATTTGAAAAAATGGTCTGAAGTCCCTAGTCGTAGATCTACGACTCGTAGCTTATCATGTCAGAAGTGTAGTCATGGTAGTTGTAGTCATGGTAAAAAAAAGTAAATTATCGTATCCGTTCCCGAAGGGAACTTACGACCCGAAGGGAACTCACGACGGCCGCTAACATCCGATAACCCCTAGCGGCAGATGCAGCGCCTAACGGTGGGGGAGAGTGAGTAAGTCTCACAACCAAGTGCCGAAAGCGACCCCATTACTTTTGGCATTAGCTGCATCCATGTACCCCTTGTGCCTGGCCACAAGTTAGTTCCCAGTTGTAGTCATGGTAGTTGGCAACAAAGTAATAGTTAGTCAGACTCCGAGTATAAGTGGTGCTCTTCAGGCACAATCTTCCTCAGCCTACTCAAGCTCAACTGATGAGGGGTGAATTCCCCGAAACACTGTGTATTGAGCAGGGAGTGGTGCTTTCTTGCAGGTTCGCCGAGTCGAAGGTTCGATGGACTTCTCGTGTTCTCTGGATGGCAGTCGTGAGTCAGTCAAGTGTCAAGTCAAGTCGGTGGAATAGCGCGAGCTCCAGTGGGGGAGCAAACCCATTCCTAAACAAAATCATCGCCGAAGTCGCAACCTCTACTTCAGACTCCGAGTTGGAGATAAT